CATTGGCAGGTGGATTCTTTTTTTTTTACATCTTTATTGGAGTGTAATTGCTTTACAATGGTGTGTTAGTTTCTGCTTTATAACAAAGTGAATCAGTTATACATATACATATGTTCCTATATCTCTTCCCTCTTGCGTCCCCCTTTAAGGAACCTCCATACTGTTCTCCACAGTGGCTGTATCAATTTACATTCCCACCAACAGTGCAAGAGTGTTCCCTTTTCTCCACACCCTCTCCAGCATTTATTGTTTCTAGATTTTTTGATGATGGCCATTCTGACTGGTGTGAGATGATATCTCATTGTAGTTTTGATTTGCATTTCTCTAATGATGAATGATGTTGAGCATTCTTTCATGTGTTTGTTGGCAGTCTGTATATCTTCTTTGGAGAAATGTCTATTTAGGTCTTCTGCCCATTTTGGGATCGGGTTGTTTGTTTTTTTGTTATTGAGCTGCATGAGCTGCTTATAGACAGATGGATTCTTAACCACTGCACCACCAGGGAAGTCCCTACCATACTGTCTTGATTACTGTAGCTTTGTAGTGTAGTCTGAAGTCAGAGAGCCTGATTCCTCCAGCTCCATTCTTCTTTCTCAAGGTTGCTTTGGCTATTCGGTGTCTTTCATGTTTCCATACAAATTGTAAACTCTTTTGTTCTAATTCTGTGAAAAATGCCATTGGTAATTTGAGAGGGATTGCACTGAATCTGTAGATTGCTTTGGGTAGTATAGTCATTTTCACAATGTTGATTCTTCCAATCCAAGAACATGGTATGTCTCTCCATCTGTTTGTATCGTCTTTGATTTCTTTCATCAGTGTCTTATAGTTTTCTGCATACAGGTCTTTTGGCTCCTTAAGTAGGTTTATTCCTAGGTATTTTATTCTTTTTGTTGCAGTAGTAAATGGGAGTGTTTCCCTAGTTCCTCTTTCTGATTTTTTGTTGTTAGTGTATAGGAATGCCAGAGATTTCTGTGTATTAATTTTGTATCCTGCTACTTTGCCAAATTCATTGATTAGCTCTAGTAGTTTTCTGGTAGCATCTTTAGGATTCTCTATGTATAGTATCATGTCATCTGCAAACAGTGGCAGCTTCACTTCTTCTTTTCCGATTTGGGTTCCTTTTATTTCTTTTTCTTCTCTGACTGCTGTGACTAAAACTTCCAAAACTATGTTGAATAATAGTGGTGAGAGTGGGCACCCTTGTCTTGTTCCTGGTCTTAGAGGAAATGCTTTCAGTTTTTTACCATTGAGAATGATGTTGGCTGTGGGTTTGTCATATATGGCTTTTATTATGTTGAGATAGGTTAGGTTTTTAATTTTTGTTCTAAGGCATAAAGGAAGAAGATTCCCATGCAGTGTGGTCATAGCTAAGCAGCTATGAGCGTCTTAGTCCTCAGAGCTCTCCCAGCCAGCCCCGAGAAAGCCACTCCCCGCTTCTCGGATCACTTGGCCCCAAGCTCAGACACGGGGGAGTCTTGTTCAAGGGCCCTGTGGTGGCAGGAAGTCACTTTAAAGACCACCTAACGCAGCGTTTCCCACCTCGGGTTGGGTTCCATGAGCAGGTCACTGAATCAGTTTAGTGGCTCTGCAACCGTGGGTAAGCATCAGGTAAATCGATTTCACCTGTAACCTGCCTGCACTAATCAAGGTCGCTTTAAATGTTGCTACCAAAGATTTGCATGTCCTCCAAGCAGCACTTGGCCGAAACAATAAGATGTTTGCCTCAGTCCTTTCCCAGGAACTTGGAGTCAGCTGCATCTAGTTCAAGCTGAGCTGGTTAAGACTGGTTGGGACCACTGACCCTCCAACTGGGCATGCGCGAGTGTCCTCTTGGTGACCTTTTGACGTCAGAGCCCCCCCGTAGCTTAGTTACACCTGCGCAGAATAACAATTATTGCACCTTTTTCTAATCACCTTTTCCTACCCTCCCCATGCTCCCCGCACCCCACACACCTCAGATCGCCCTGCTGCTTTGTTCTTCATCCCATAAATATCCCAATCCCCTTGGCGTTCAGAGACGTGAATCTGAGATATGTTCCTTGTCTCTGCACTTGGCTGCCTTTTGAATAAAGTCTCTCTGCTGCAAACCTCGGCATCTCAGCAGTTGGGCCTGCTGTGCATGGGGCAAAACGAACCTGGTCCAGTAACAGATCCAGACTCACATTTTTTTTAGATGGAATGGATGAGACTAGAAAGATTAGATATGGAAGTGTCATATTGCTTTGCCTGTAACAAGAACAAGCGATGTACTGGACCTGTACATTGGTATAGATATTTTCTCACCATGGGCCCCATAATGACTCCACAAACCTACCACATCTCCCCGCACACAGGCCATAGCACCTAAAATTCCGTGTTGCAGACACTGATGTCCTCTCTCATGGAGCAAATATGTTATCTGACCGTGACAGGAGTCACAAATATTTTAGCAAACGTTTTATTAAATTATATTAACTGGCAAAGAGTGCGATGCAGAGGGCAAATAGATTTTAGTAGGAAAATGAGGGCCTGGCAGGATAAACTTTTTGGAGGTGTAAGACTTTAGAAATTTGGGAGTTTTGAGAAGAAAAACATTAAAAAAATAAACCCAGAGCAAATGTAAATAAACATAATGCTGACCCTAAAAACCTTTATACACCTAGACTAATTTGTTAGCTTAAAAAAAACACATGAAGGGCTTCCCTGGTGGCACAGTGGTTGAGAGTCCACCTGCCGATGCAGGGCACACGGGTTCGTGCCCCGGTCCGGGAGGATCCCACATGCCGTGGAGCGGCTGGGCCCGTGAGCCATGGCCGCTGAGCCTGCGCATCCGGAGCCTGCGCTCCGGATGAGGCCACAACAGTGAGAGGCCCGTGTACCGCAAAAAAAAAAAAAACACACACACATGAAAACATTGCATGTACCTTGGTTTGTTCTTAACAATTGTCAAGTTTAACATATTTAGAAATATAAAAGAGTAGGGGGAATAAAGGCAGTTGTTTGGGGGTTTTCCTCCCAGTTTTCTAGGGAAAATGATAAAATCCTCTTTAAAAAAATCAGTTGTTGAAATTGTAAAGAGGTGTTGCAGGCCTTAGCGTTTTAAGATGTCAGCTGAGAGGAAAGAACAGAGGGGCCTGCTTCCGGGCAGATCCCGAGCTTGGGCAGAGGGCAGTGGGCCCACAACCGTGAGTCTGGGGCCGCACGTCGCTTCCCTTGATGCCACTTTTTGAAAACCACACCTGTCTTCCTCTTGTTGCTCCGGAACATGGCAGCTTGCTTGGCTGTAAACTGATGGCTGGGCCACACTCAGTGGATGACGCCTCAGAACTTTGCAGGATGCGCACGGGGAAGACCTGTGTGTCACCTGTACAGTCCGCTCGCATAGGGAACCGCTTCTAATTCCAAGGGTCTCCTTCGGGAACTGAAAACTTCTGTTGTGAAGGTCACGTGCCAGTGGCAAGGAACGGGGGACACACGGAAGGTAAAGGCAGGTGAGGCGGGAGTGCACGGGGCGTTTTCAGAACTCCCTGTGATGGAGAGGGAAAGACCTCCCCTCAGTCTGGTTCTGTATAACCACTTCCTGTCTCCCCTCTGTCCGATTCTGATGGCAGCAAGCCGAGCCGGAGATGCTGCCACAGCCCTTTACAGCAGCACCTCTCAAATTTCCGGGGGGCACCAGAATCCCCTGGAAAGCTGGATAGAACACAGATTGCTAGGCCCACCCGCAGAGTTTCTGACTCAGTGGGTCTGGCGTGCAGCCTGAGTAAGTTTCCAGGTGATGTGAATGCCCTGGCTCAGGACCACACTTTGAGAACCACTACACTGAAGCCTGGCTGGTTGGTCTGTTTCTGGGGCAGGGGTGAGGGATGCCAGGACTCAGAGCGATGCAGAGTCCAAGGGAGAGAGGAGAGCAAACGGGACGGACTCGAAAGCCACTTAAACCCACCAGCAGCACGGCCCCCACCCAGCTGTCGGCCAGTGTGCTGAGACTGTGTCATCACGAATCTGGTGTCAACAAGTGCTGGGCCAGCAGGACTTCCATTAACCAGTCACGTCTTTGTGCCCCACTCATCCCTGGAAGAATTCACATCAAGATCAAAGATGATCTACAGGGTGCAAAACAAAGTGTTTTCTTCTCAATTCTTTGTCATGCCAACGCCCTCCGCTCATTGTGTCCATGGTCCCTCCAGGGGATTCTGGCACAGCCCAGAGGACAGAAGTCAATTCTTTTGTTTTCTTTTTCTTGGCCACGCCTTGTGCGCAGCATGTGGGATCTTAGTTCCCCCGACCAGGGATCAACCCCGCGTCCCCTGCCGTGGAAGCGCAGAGTCTTAACCACTGGACCACCAGGGAGGTCCCCAGAAGTCAATTCTTATCCTGGAGCTGCTACACCGACTTTCGTAAGGCCAAGCAGAGACAATAACTTGAAGAAAAAGACCCACTGAGTCCAGGTATAAACAAAGGTTTAGGAGGATACCAACTGGCCAGTCTTTTTCCACCACAAGGAATAGAGTTTAGAATTCTGTCTGGACTGCAGGAAGGAGATTTTTGAGCAGTGGAGGGCAACCCTTGGTGGGGTCTCAGCGCAGGAAGCTGCCCCTGTCCATGGCTTTGGGGGGAATCTGAGGGCAGAGGGGACTGGAACCTCGCTCCTTGGGTCAGCTCTAAGGAGACAGCTGGTCTCTGCCGGCCAGCATAAGAGCAGCTAGTGGAAATCACAGAAGGTCCTCAAAAGCAGAGAGACAGAGAGAGCCCCGTGCCCCCACTCCAAGGCCCCACTGGAGCACAGCGAAGCAGCTGGGTATGTCCTGTGCCCCCAGCCAGGTGGAGCACCTATGCATAGATCAGGAAACGTGCCTTCAAGACCCATTTCTTCCATCTGTTGGGGAAATTCCTGATAACTTGGGTTTTGCAAGAAGACAGCGTTTTAGTGCCATATGCCACAGATTCTTCTGAGCAAACACACGGATCTGTAATGTTTATGGTGTGACTGTGACACTAGGGTGGCAGTGGCCCTCCCCATGGTCAAATGGGGCGACCGCGAGCTGATACAGCCAGAGGCAGGGGCCACAGCCTCACTGCTGCTGCTGGAGACGCCAAAGACACCTCGTGGGTTGGGGGCGGTGTCACATCTCTGCAGAGACATGATCCAGGACCAGAGCCTTATTCCCAAGGTCACCGCGACTAACACCACGCAGATTCTAGAGGAGCCCCAGGTACTTTTAGTGTTATCGCTGTGGGCTCAAAGTTGGAAATTTGCTGTCTTACACCCCGGTTTGTGACTATGGCATCCGTACCTGCCACAGAGAGGGGCTTGGTTCCCACCCACGTGGAGGTTCTGCATCACTGGCTGCAGGGCCAACCCAGGGACGAATAGGCTCCCTGCCCAAAACCCCTGCCTCCTGGCCTTGTTCTGGTGACGCCAGCCTCTCCTCCTTGGTCCCTGGGCTTGGGACCCCACTCCCTCAACTCAAGTCACTGTCTCTAAAACACCCACCCCATCAATCACCAGCCCCTTACCTTGCTATTTAAATTTTTCATAGCAGTTTTTGCTTTCCGACGTTATGTTATATATGATATTGAAGTGGTTTATATCCTGTTTCCCCCAGTAGAACACAACTTCCATAAAAACAGGGCCTGTGTCTTGCCCACTACTGTATTCCCGGTGCCCGCAGCAACGCCTGGCACGTAGTAGGCGCTCAGTGTTTTTAAATGGATGAAAGGCCTTCAGGTAGAGGAAACGCCACATCGCAGCCACAGGAGCACAGACCCCAGAGCCCACCCTTCAGAGGCTGCGCTCACTGTGACTGTCCCGCTGCCCTTGGCTCTGGCTTCAGGAGGCCTGTCAATGTATAACCTCCCGACTGACTTCAGGAGAGTTTGAGAGATACCATATCCTGCATTTGGGGGGAAGATTTTACATTTCTCTCCTTTGTGGATTTTTAGCACAGTCATCATAATTGCTGGGCTTAATGGTATGTAAATGCTGCTAGTTTGAGTTTAAAACACAAAAACAAGCAGGCAGTGGGGGCCACCTCCCATCCTAAAGCAGGATGAAGCTCCCCGCCATCATCCCCGTGTGGGTCCCTCGTGACGTCTGTTTATGGCCATTTCACGACTCATTGACCCTCCACCAGAGCGTGAGTCAAAGAGAGTAGAATCAATAACCCGAACCCAGCCTCTTAGAAATAGCTTGTCAGCAGCTCTTGGCCAAGCTCTGAGAGTAAAGAGAAGAGGTCTAAGTTGTCCCTGAAGCCAGAGTTTGGATAATCTGCTGCTAGACCAGAGGCCCTCCCAGGGCAGGGGCTAGCGCTTCTTAAGCATTTGGATGAGCAACGCTGGGCCCATGGATCTGCAGATCCCACCCTCCACACCTACAGTTCCCTGCCTGCTTGCTCCGGAAAAACAAACCCAGCCTCGTCCCTTCCCTGTTTGAATCCTTGCTTCTGCATCCTCAAGCCGGAAACTCCCAACAGGCCTGGAATAGCAACCTCCAGCCTCTAGCCGCTAACCTCCCTCAGAGGCTCTGGGCTGCCTCCTGCCAGGCCCGCCCTGTCCCCTCCCCTCTTCTCGGATTATAGCCCCTTTTTGAGGCTTCCCTCCGGGAGTACAGCACTCCCCTGCCACATACCCCTTAGGTGCTAATTGTCACTCCATTCTGGTCATTCTCCCCCACTGGGCTGTGAGCTGCTTGAGGACACAGAAAGCATCCTTTATCTGAGCATCCCCAGTGCCAGGTCACTCAAAACCATATTTGAGTAGTCAGTGAATGATGAACGTCTGAGTTCTCTTACACTTTTATTCAAGATGATCCCACTGCAGCATCCAAAGTCAGAACCTGAAATATTGCCCAAAATGTAATTAAGAGGAAACGCTGGCCTCCTCTTCATACCTATTAGGACGGCCAATATCCAACACATTGACAGCAGCAAAGGCTGGAAAGGATGTGGAACAACGGGAACGCTTAGCATTGTTGGTGGGAAGGCAAAACGGTACAGCCACTCTGGAAAACAGTTTGGTGATTTCGTACAAAACTAAACATACTCTTACCATAGGATTCATCAGTTACGCTCCTTGGTATTTACCCAAATGAATTTTAAACTTATGTCCACGGAAAAACCTGTACACATATGTTTATAGCATTTTTACTCACAATTGCCAAAATATTATTTGGCCCTGAAAAGAAATGCGCTTTCAAGCCATGAAAAGACAAAGAGGAAACTGAAATGCACAGTACTAAGTGAAAGAAGACAATCGGAAAGGGCTACATACTGTATGATTTCAGTTATATGACATTCTGGAAAAGGCAAAACTATAGAGAAAGTAAAAGAATCAGTGATTCCCAAGGGTTGAGGGGAGGGAGGGATAAATAGAACACAGAGGAATCTTAGGGCAGTGAAAATACTCTGTACAATATTATAATGATGGATACATGACATTATACATTTGTCCAAACCCATAGGATATACAACGTAAAGAGTGAACCCTAAGGCAACTGTAGACTTTGGATGTTACTAGCGTGTCTGCGCAGGTTCATCTGTTGTAACAAATGTACCACTTGGGGCCGGAAGTTGATAGTGGAGGAGGCTGGGGAGGTCGGGGCAGAGGGATACGGAAAACCGCTGTACTTTCTGCTCGAATTGAAAACTGCTCTAAAAATTAAAGTCTAGCAATTAAAAACCAAAAACCAAAAACCGACAAAGAGACAAACACTGGCCACATCTTCAAGAAATTAATGATAGGCTATTAATGATCAAAGCAAATATATACATAGTGGATAAATCACGAAGCCAGCAAAGGACATTCTCTCCACGCAAAGTCACGCAAAGTCACGAATGTCCCATCAGACGGCCTCGGTCCTGCGTCAGGCCCTTAGTAGCACCAAGAGGCTCTGTTTCCCATGGATTAGCCCCATCTCCCCGCCACCCCTGGCTAGTACCTAGTTCCTGTCTGAAGATGGGATGGTGGATGGGATGTTGAAGTCCGTCTGTCTCTCTGGGGAGCTGCAAACGTTCACCGTATAAGCGAGCAGTCAGGAAAATTGGCTCAGGATTTCCCGCGTTGAGGCTATTTTAGGCTTACTATCCGGCGCTTGGTTTCCTTTGCGGAGTAAAAGCTCTATTTAGCCTTGTGCACATCCAGCTGCCTGATGTAGCAGGACTTCAGGGCATCTTAAGAGGAAATGTGTTTGGAAAATGTAACGACTCTGTTGCTCCGAGAGGCAGAAGTAACTGAGCCGAGGCTTCCCGCCTCTGTGCCTGATGACCTCCAAGGACTGCGAGGAAGTGAGTGCCTTCCTGCCCCTTTGCAACTTATGCCTCCTTAGAACAGTTTTTCTAGAAACTTCGTAATACAGAAATACACCCTCTTCTACAAATGACTCAATTTTCCTAAATCCCTAGCAAGGGAGTGAGACGCCCTCCAGTGCTGTGCTTCCCCCGTCCTGTCCTGACAGTCCCTGCTTCTCAGAGGCCACAACAGCGTGAGAAGACCATGCTTAGAGCGTGTGGGGCTCAAGCACCGGGGGTCCCGCCCTGCGTGCGTTCACCACCACCCACGAGTGTGGACGGACGTTCATTCTGTGTGCCTCAATTTCTAATCCAGTGTCTCTGACTTCAAAAGAAGATTAAATGGTTGTGTAGAGTAACAGAAAAATGGCGATGAAGAAACAAGGCCTCTACAAGGTGAACTGTGATTCTAGCAAATTCCTCTGGGTGAACCCCTCCCCTCCCCAAGGATCTGCAGAATATAACCAGAGAGATGGAAAAGAACCCGAAAGAGCAGTTTGGAGCCCCACGGTCCCCGGAATTTGCACTTTCTCCCTCCAGTTATGAGCAAGGTGAGCACAGTAGCCAGGATGGAAGTTAAGGTTCATTGGTTGCAACTGACAGAAACCCAAGGCAGAGTTGCTTAAGCAAAATAAAAGGATTTACTGCTTTACAGGGATAATCTGGCGTCAGACCAGCTTGATCTGAGGGCCCAGTTGACATCATAAAGACTTGATTTCTCAACCTTTCTCTCTCTTTCCATCTCTCAGAGTGGCTCAGCAAAGGAAAGTCAAGGTGCACTGCCTGTGGGGCAGACAAAATAGCAATGGTCCCCTGCACTCCCTTAGGTACAGCTGCGATACTAGTGAGTAGAAAACTCAGTGATGCCGCAGCTTAACCAATCTAACTTGGATTAGCAAAGACTGACACCGGGGCTGAATAAAGAACAGGAGCCTGCAGAATAGCCAAGCCCCAAACCTGGCATCATCACCTACCTCCCTGACCCTCACACTCGGTCAGCCACCGAGTTCCTTCAGCCTCGGAAATAACTCTGCTGTCTGTCCTTCCGTCTCCATCCCGCCCCTCCCCGCCCCCGCTCCCCCCACTGCCGAATCAGCCCTTCATCACCTGTATCCATTTCCTAGCGCTGCTGTGACTGAGTACCACAAACCTAGAGGCTTAAGACAACAGAGATTTATACTCACAGTTCTGGAGACTAGAAGTCCAAAATCAAGGTGCCAGCAGGGCCGTGTCCCTCTGAGACACTGGGTAGAATCCTTCCTTGGCTCTTCCAGCTTCTGGTGGGGCCATCAGTCCTTGGCCTTCCTTGGCTTGCAGCTGTATCACTCCAGACTCTGCCTCTGTTGTCCCTCGGTGCTCCCCTGTGTGCCTGTATCCTCACATGGCATCTTCCTCTTCTTATAAGGACACCAGTCAGGTTGGATTAGGACCCATCCTAAAGCCCTGATTCTAATTATCTGCAAAGACCCTATTTCCAAATAAGGTCACGTTTACAAGAACCAGAGGTTAGGACTTCAGTATATCTTAGAGGGACACAATTCAACCCACAGCCTCACCTCCTGCCTAAATCATAGATGGCAACCTCCTCATGGCCCTTTCTAATCACAATCTTATTCTCTCCAATCTAGTCTTCAAACTACAGCCAGAATGGACTTCATAGAACACAAATCTGACCATGTTCCTCCCCTTCTAAAACCCTTCACTGGCTCCCCATGGCATCTACAGGGCAAATTCCAAACTCCTTAGGATGACATTTGTGTGGGATTGTCTATGAACATTCCCTCCCCTCTGTTGACGTGAGCAGCTCCCCCAAGAAGAGGCATGGTCTTCCGCACCTCCCCTTGAGTCTGAGCTGACCCTGTGACTTGCTTTAACCAACATAAGGCACCCAAATGGACACTGCCCCATTCCAGACCTTGAACTTTGGA